AAATTATAGATATACATAGCGTATGGAAGATGTGGGTTCAAACTTTTCTTTACTCATAAAATATAATTCGTTACATATACAAAATATCATAACGGTGGACAGTAGTGCCAATACTCTCTGCTTCTCGACGTCCATCCGACCGCTGCTCCTAATTCCTGCAAAACAAGGAAGAACAGTGGGGTAGCACAACAATGCTCAGTAAGTAAATCCTCTACTATGTGTCCCACAACTCACTCTTTAGTTCTTTCTTACTCTACCGTTCTTCTATTTCTAATTCTCACTGTTTTCTCTTTCTTGCTAATACTTTTATTCTCCTTTAACTATATTCTGCTCTTTTTATTCTTTCTTTCTCTCTATCTCATTCTCTTTCTTCTTCTCTATGCTTACTCACCATGAAGGAAAATCATGCATCATACTCACCATGAAGGAAATCATGGTTCTCTCTTATGCTCATCAACTCTACTAACCATGGAAGAAATCATGGTGTATGCATGTATGAGATGTATATGCAATTAATGCAAAAGAACTGCATGTTTCTTTCTCTACTCTCTATTCTTACTAGCTCAAAACCTCTCATTCCATCTCATTCTTTCTCATTCTTAATTCTCTTATTATCTCTTTCTCATTTCTCAAATCTTTTCTACTAGCTCTTTCTTAAATGTCACAGTCCCATCTTACTGGAGGCATGGCTGGAACCTCATATTCCACTCTTCGTGACAGTCACGGCCCTATCTTACCGGAGGCACGGTCGGGACTTCTCCCGCTCTACGTGACTTCTACTGATTCTCTTTTTGTCTCTCTTTCTCATGCTCTTTGCTATACACTCTCTGGTGTATGTCACGGCCTCACCTTACCGGAGGCACGGCTGGGGACTCATCCCACTCTTCGGACTCTACTCATTTTCTCTTTCTATTCTTCTATTTCTCTGTTTTCTCATTCTTACTCATTGAATGTCACGGCCTCATCTGACCGGAGGCACGGCTGGGCGCTACCACTGTACGTGACTTTTACTCATTTCTTTACCGATCGGACTCGGTTATGCATGGATTCGGAACCTTGACCATGTGAGTGTATATTCTTTCTCTCTATCTCTCGAATGTCACGACCCTTCTCGGGGGCACTGTTGGGGATCACAAAGCACCCACTCTCGTGATGGTACGGCCCTATCTTACGGAGGCACAGCTGGGGATCACAAAGCACCCACTCTCGTGATTTTACATTACTCAGGGTTCCCCATCGCACAACCTACTATATTCTCTTCTTTTGTTTTTTTCTTTTTAGAGTAGTTCATTCACAAAGTCCCTACTCTTTCTCAAGCTATACTCTTAGAGTATTTTATTCACAAAGTTCTCCACTCTATCTCAAGCTATTACTCATAATGTAGCTCATACTCAACATTCTCTACTCTTTCTCAAGCTACTTCTCAATGCCAATTAATGCATATGAATGGTTCATGCTCATTATGCACTATGAAATGCCAATGCAATATTGCATCAAAACAGTCATTTTGCGCAGATCACACTCAAGAAGGCATAACTTGAGTTATACACCTAATATTGCTACAATTTTGGTCTCGTTTTAAAGCTTAGAGACAGGATAACAACTTTGATGTTTTGGTCTAAACCAGTTCAATCCGTAGAATGCCCAAAAATCACTAGAAGGTTACAGCTGTGACAGGGCAGTTTCTCACTTAGGCATTTCCTCAAACAACTCATGTGCATACCAAAGCTCTACATCTATAACTCTATCTTCTCTTTAACATCCAAATGGGAGGAAAACTCCCTCATGTAGTCATAATTCCTGCCAAGGAAAACACTCCCAAAATATTCATACAAAACTCCTCCAACTTCAACTCAATTTCAATCTCTCTTCAACATCAACACTTCTCATAATTAAAGTTATCCAACAACACTAGAATAAATTCTCATCTAACTCAATTTCTCAGCAAGCATAAATACTCATGCATATATAAATATCTACTAAATCTCTACTCAAAAGATTTCTCAAATCTCAACTTGGTTGGTTTTTACTTACCTTGTGCTTGAGTAGTCTCTCCTAAGCTCTCTACTCTTGTTGGATTCTATACTTCTCTTAACCCTAATCATAAACTTCATAAGAACTCAACCTTTACACAATAAATCATAGATAAAGAGCTTGAATCCTTACCTTTTGATGCCTTGATACAAAACCCTATGAAAATCTACTCAAAAGCCCTCAAATTCCTTGGAGAAGTGAATGAAAATTTGAGAGAAAAAAGGAGGAGGAGTGTGGGGGGTGGAATGAACGAAAATAAGGGTTTCAAACCCTTAATACTTTAATTTATAACACACTTCCCATTTTGCCCTTGCACTTTCGCTAAAATTCCATCTATGTGCCTTAGTCAATTACCATAATGCCCTCATTTTTATTGCATTCTCCATGAAATCTATCTCTTTTCACTCCCCACAATTTAACTAATTTTGAGTGAAAAGCCATTTACCCCTAATGAAGTTTAAGGGATTTTCTTCACATTTTTCTCAAAATAACTTAAAATTAATTAAGGGCCAACCCAACCAATCAAAATACAAGCTCAATTGAGAATAAATCAATAAAATTCCAGCAATGCAACAATAATTTAACTACGTACCTCAAGTGGGGCGTTACAAATATATTGTGTAAGGTTTAGAAAAATGATTTTGTGTTTCTATTATTTTGTGAAGGACAATATACCTTCCTAAATGAAGAAGAAGGTGTTTAAGGGTTGTTTTGTATTTGCATAAAATAGTTTGTGGTTAGTAATCAGAACCATCAAAGTCAGCTATTTGGGGATGAATTTCTTAATGTAAGAAAGTTTAATGAATTGTTAGCGGTAGTAAACATTATATCCAAGTACAAAAATTATTAAGAAGAAACTGAAAAGATCACAATGTGATAATGGATTGATACAAACAATTTAGATTATGAAATGATGACTAATGTGAATTTGATAACATTATGGCAAGATTCTTCTCTTATTTTTCAGTTAATAATGAATAACAGGCAAAGTTGAATTATCAAACATTTCAGATTGACACATGCTCAAATACAAAACCAGATTCAGCTAATTTGTCTATAAGTTACAATAAAGATCAAATGTTAGAGATTAGTATCTTCAGAAAACTCATCTAAAATTGGAGACGATTCAAGTATTATCTCTAAATAATGTAAGCTAAATATAATACCATAGTTTTAAAAATAACAAAATCCACCCTAGAAATTGAAAGTACAAACTATTGTAGAGTAATTTCTCTTGTTTCTGAAACTGATGACGTTATTTAAGGATCCATAACCACATCAAATCATATGATAAAATCCAAAAGACTCCACAACTAAAAAATCCGTCAAATTATCTAAAACCAATAAAACCCTTAAAAGTTAAAAATAACACAAACCACCCCAAAAGTACAAATATTTCACATTTCATTCACCTAACACCAGGCGAAGGAATTCAGTTAAATAACTGGTTCAACACACACAAGGGGTTTATGCAGTAGAAGAAGAAACTAGTATTATATCACAATCATATGACTTAATTCAAGGTAAATAATAAATAAAATACTCTGCAGTTATCCAAAATCAATAAAACCCCTAAAGTTTAAAAACTACCATAAAATACACCCCTAATACAAATGTTTAGAGGTCCATTCTAAACTTTCACCCATCACCAGAGCATTGAGTTTACTAAACAACTAGATCAAGTCACAACAAGTGGGTTTATGTTAATGCAGCAGAAGAAACTTGAAAAGAAAAGAGAAGAAAAATGTACCTTTAAGCTATTAGAGGAAGGATCCATTCAGACTTTAATCCTTGAAATTTCATACATAATAACGAATACTTAAAGAAAATCATAAAATGTTACAAATACAACAATACTATATGCAAATTATACTTGAATTGGAGCTATTGTATACATATTCTTGCAAATTACGTAATAATTAGTTTACAATCAAGCAGATCAAATAATATTACTAAAGAATAAGTTATCTCAACTCTATGTAAAGGCTGAGAAACTTGAGAAAAAAAAATATGTATTTCAGTACAATATATTCCTTGAGCTGTTCTCAAATTTCTCGACGACAAAACTTATTTCGCAAAACTGAAACCTCATATCTTTCAACCGCCATATCAACATTGCTTAAAAAACGGAAGGAAAAATAACATAAAACTCCAAGTTCCATTTTTCTTTCCTTGGTAGTCAATTTCTCTGAGATCAAACGTCACTAGTTAGGCTGCAAACCCTTGACTCATCAATTCACCAAACGTTAGATTCCTCACCTTCCCTCCTTGCAAAGCCTATTTATCATTGATTAAACGTCACCACATAGACTGCAAACCTCTTTGACATCAATTCCATCAACCCATAGCTTCCAACATTTTCCCCTCATTGCAAAGCCACTTGTCATAGTATTAAAAGATCACCACGTTAGGCTGCAAACCTCGTTGGCTTTTAATTCCAACAAACCATTAGCTTCTCCATCTTCCCTTCTTGCAAAACCAATTTATCATTGTATAAATGTCACCACATGCTCCAAACCTCTTTGACTCATCAATTCCACAACCCATTAGCTTCCCCCATCTTCCCCTCCTTGCAAACCGATTTATCATTGTATTAAAGTCACCACATTGGTTGCAAGTCCTCTGCATCTCATTAATTCTAACAACTCATTAGCTTCCTCCGTTTCCCCTTCTAGCAAAGCCCATTTATCATTGTTGTAAACGTAACCACATTAGGCTGCAAACCTCTTTGAATCATTAATTCCAAAAACCCATTAGCTTCCTCATCTTCCCGTCCTTGCAAAGCACACTTAACATTGTAGAAAGTAAACCACATTAGGATGGAAACCTCTTTGAATCATCAATTCCAACAACCATTAGCTTCCTCGTCTTCCCCTCCTTGCAAAGCCCATTTATCATGAATTAAAAGTCACCCACATTAGGTTGCAAACCTCTTTGAATCATCCATGCTTCCACTCAACGCCGATCTACGCTGTCTCTATCTTCCCCTCCTTGCAAAACCCACTTATCATTGTATTATACGTCAATAAATTAGGCTGCAAACCTTGATCCAGCATCTCAAAAAACAAGACTTTAGCCCCCTCCAAATTTCTCACAAAACAACAACCATAAATTAGAGTGGTACAAACAACCACATTTGGCTTAATTCCTCCACTCTTCATTTCCAAAAACAATTCTTTCGTCTTATCTACCAACCCATCTTTGCAAAGACCATTGACAATACTACCATAAGAAACGATATCAGGCCTAACCCCAAACACAACCATTTTCTTGAACAACTCCATAGCCTCCAAACTCCTATTCTCCAAACACAAACCTTTAATCAAAGAATTAAAAGTCACAACGTCTGGGTTAAAACCCCACCTCAAAATCCTCCAAAAAATAGCAAAACCATCACAAACTTGACCCACATTACAAAAACAATTAATCAAAATATTCAAAGTAATTAAATCAGGTAGCAACCCCATCGTACTCAGTCGTTTGTACAGGAAAATAACGTCTTTATAAAACTTCTTCCTAGCAAGAGCTCCAAACAACCGATTGAATGATGAAATCAGTGGTTTGGGTTGCATATGAGTCATTAAACAAAAGAAATAGCCTGCTTCACCAAGAGTGATGTTACCTTCTTTGCAATCTTTTTGAAGGAAATTCTGAAGTTGGGTTACTTTAAGTACTAAATCTTGTAGTATAGTTGTAGTCACTTTACCTGCTTTTGCGAATGAAGACGGAGAAGAAGAAAAATGACGAATCAAGCTTTTGAGCATCATTTTAATAGCGTCGTTTGTGGATTATCGATCGAGGGTTCAAACTGGCTTAAGCTTTTGGGTGTTAAGGGTTAAATAATACATCTCACTGGAAAAGAGAGTGGGATAAAACGTATTTATTTGAAACCTGTAGGGTTCTGATGTTGTAATGACTCTCTTTCTAGCTAGTATACTCATAAAATAACAGTAAAACTCATTAAATATATATACGAAAATATATACATATAAACAAGTATAAAAGTATGGACCCATATTTCATTTTCTTTATACACAAAACTTTACATAATATATAAAGTCTCGAAATATTAACTTGATAGTTTTGCCCAACCCTTCCGCTGTGTGATGTTCCAAGTGACCACATTTCACCTGTTACTTGCAAAAACATTGAAAACAATGGGGTGAGCACTAATTGCTCAATAAGTAAACCCGCTATGCTACCCTTTTCTTTCCGTTGCTTAAATTCTGAATTTCTTTCCCTACTTTACATTTCCCCATTCTTCTTTATTCTTTCTCTACTCTTACTCTGTTTTTCTCTCTGTTCTTTCTCTATTCTAATTTCCCACTACTCAAATAATAGGCATGGTATTATGCATATATATAATGCAAATGCACAGATGTATAAAATATGCATTTTCTTTTCTATTCTTCTTTCTTTTCTGTTTCTTTTCTCTGTATTTCTTTCTTTGCTTCCTTTTCTAGTCTTTCTTTTCTTTCTTTCTATTCTTTCTTTTCTTTCTTATTCTTTTCTTTTCTTTCTCATTCTTTTCTTTTCTTATTCTTTTGCCGATCAGACTCGGTTGAGGCATGGATTTGGAACCTTGGCCGTGTGAGTGTATTCTTCTTTCTTGGGTACAGCCCTCATCCACATGCACTCTTACAGACTGTACCAATTCTTCTTTCTTTTTCTTATGCTGCTCACTAAAGGCGGCGTGCATGTGGGGAAAATTCTTCTTGTCACTCACGATTCCCCATCGCAACAACCTTTTCTTCTTTTTATCTTTTTACACTTCTTTAAATAAAATTTAGATTTGAACTTCTTTAATATTCTCATTTCTTTTTATTTACTCTTTAGTGCTTTTTCATGCTCTTATGAATATGTATGCATGTAGATGGTTTCATGCTTATAATTCTTTCTAAATTCACATGTTTAAATGCAATTATGCAATATGGAATGCAAACATGTCATTCTCTACCATCTACAAACTCATCTCATTCTAACACATAATCATACTCATATAAACACTTCTCTTTGACATTTCATCAAACAACTTATGTGCATAAAGCAACTCTATTTTGGCTATACTTCTATCTCTTTTCTAAGCCACCAAAAATTGGGAATAAAACCCTCCATATTTAATGCCAATTCTGCCCAAAATATACACTCCAAAATTTCCACTCCAATTCTTCCAAATTTCATCCAAACATTCATCAAACATCAAATACAGCAACACAACTTCTCATTTCCAATCCAATTCTTCCAAATTTCATCCAAACATTCATCAAACTTCAAATGCACTAACACAACTTCTCATGGATAAGTTATAATCATCATTCAACACCAAATCCATCAACAATTCTACATATAAAACATATATATGCATAAAAGAAATTCTCTGCACAACATAACTTAAATCATACTTAGGGTAGGATTTACTTACCTTATGTGTGAGCAATCCAACACCCTAATAATCTTCTTTGATCCAACTCTCTTTCTCTTAACTCCTATGAATACAAATCATCAAAATTCAACACTTTAAAAATTAAAACTTACTTCTTGGTGCAAGGATCTTACCTAAAGATGCTTGGGATTGAAAATTCACTTAGAAGTACCTAAAATCTATGAATTTCCTTTGAAGAAGAATTGAAGAAATTAAGAGAATATGGAGGTGAAGGTGGCGTGAAAATGGGTGAAGAGTGGCTAGGGTTTCACTCTTCAATCCTTGATATAACATAATATTATATGTAGTTTCCCATTTTGCCCTTGCACATTCTTTAAAATTTCATCTATGTCCCTTAGTCAATTACTATAATGCCCTAATTTTTATTGCATTCTCCATGAAATTCTATCTGTCTTCACTCCCCACAATTTCAACTAATTTTGAGTGAAAAGACCATTTTACCCTTAATGAAATTTTAAGGCATTTTCTTCACAATTTCTCAAAATAACTTTAACAAAAAACAACTTAAGGTATAAGAACATAAATTAAATTATGTACCTCCATGTGGGCGTTACAATGTAATCATATTTTTGCTAAAATTATTCAGAGGGTGTATTGTTTTTAACATGGAGGATAGCTATTTTCTGCAGAATAGTGGATAGATCATATGATTATGATATGTTGCAGACCTGGCTTCAAAGTTTGTTCATGTAGCTATTTGAATTGACATATCTTGGATTACTGGCAGAGAGTGCTCGAACTACTCACGAGCGGCTGGCCTCGCCTTGCCTGACAGCTTCAAATAGATAAATTGTATTAAATGCAATCCAACCTAATTATGGATTAGGTCAAATTCAATATTGAACTCAAATCTGCCTTCACTCAAAAGGCAAAAACATTCATGATTTCAAATGATATAGTATTTTATATATCTATTTATGAATTCATAATCCAAATCCAAATTATGTAAGTACTTTTGCTTAAATGCGTTTAACGAGGTTTTTCATTCTTTTTTGAAGAAATTTTGAAATTAAAAAAGAATATACATGATACAATTAATCAGACAATACTACATTTACAACTCAATCTCACAGACTTTCTCTCACAATCCTAACGTGATAGCTCGTAATTGGTCTGCTTGTAAATGGGTCCCGCTTGCTTGTAGTGGATCTCGCCTACCCAATTATGAGCTGATCAATTACAAACTACTACATCGGGGTTGTGAGAGAAAGTTTGTAAGTATGAGTTGTGAGCTGGTCTTTACTAAATTAATCAACTTTGCTTCTAAAAGAATATCTAGAGTGTGTTTGTTTTATTATTTTGAGTAGTATTTTTGAAAAAATTAAGTTGAGTTATTATTACGAGGATAAGATTTGAATTTGAAAATGTGTTTGGTAAGATTATTTTTTAATCCCCTATATTTGTTAATTTAGTTAAACATCCCATACAATAAAAGTTTTAAAATTAAGAAAAACACACCCACCCACCCATTAAATGCTAGCGGTGGTGGCCGACTCTGTCAGGAATATGTGGGTGAGTGGAGGTGTTTTTGTCAATTTATAATTTTTTATTGTTGGGGGTGTTTAGTTAAATTAACAAACCTAAGAGGTTAAAAAATTCAAATATTTTGAGTTGAATAGAATAGGATTGGATTTTGGGAACAGTGAAACAAACATGCATTTTGAATAGGATATGATAGGAATAAGGAAACAAACTGTAATGCCCCACTTGAGGTACGTTGCTAATTCGCTCTTATTTGAGTCGGTTTTTATGAATAGTGGTTGGTTGGTCTTTGGTGTGTTGATATGTTGAGTAATTGCCTTGAATTGAGTCAAATTAGAAGGTTTTTGCTGTTACAGGGCTCGTCGGGGCGAAGGATAGTCTTCGCCGCGACGAAGAGGTGTTGAAGCCACGAGGAAGCTACTGGACAGTTTCGCCGCGGCGAAGGAAGCTTCTTCGCCGCGGTGACGTGCCGGTTGAAAAGTTTATTGAGTTTTAGATTTTTTTTCCCTTGGGTACTATTTGACCATTTTACCCCTAATTAGTAGGAAAAGTGGGGAGTAAAATGTAAGGAAATTTCATGGAGAATATGTTAGTATGGGGGTGTGTTTGTAAGGAATCAAAGGATATGGATGGAATTTCCAAGAAAGAGCAAGGGCAAAATGGGAAGAATGAGTTTGTTAGGAGATATTTAAGGGGGTTTAGTCTTTGAGAACTTTTCATTTTTCCATTCCACCGCCATATTCATTCTCCAAATTCTCTCAAATTCCTTCAATCTTCAAGGATTTCCAAGAGTTTTGAGTAACTTTAGTAGGGTTTTAATCTAAAGCATCCTAAGGTAAGGATTCTTGCTTTAGATGAGAGTTTTATTATGTTTTGATTAGAGTCTATGTGTTGGTTGTTGTTGGTTAAAGTTGTAGAGAAAAGGCAAGCTCCCTAGGAAAGGAGAAGTGTTGAAGAAGCTATTTCCTCATAAGGTAGTAAATTCACCTAAGTTGAGATTTAAGAACTCTTTTGAGTAGAGTATATAATATATGTGTATTCATTGGTTTGTTGAAATGAGATGAATGAGATTAGTAGTTGAATGAGTAATACATAAATTGAGTTTGAGAAGTGTTTATTTGCTTGATGTTGGGTGAGTTTGATTGAAGTTGGAGGAAGTTTTGAGCAAGCTATGGAAGTGTCTTTCTTTGACAGGAAATTTAGAGTTTATGAGGGAGTTTCCTCCATTTGGATGATATAAAGAAAAGAAAAAAAGTTAGAGTTAGAGTAGAGTTTTATATGCACATGAGTTGTATAATGAAATGCTCAAGAGAAGCAAAGTAAGAGTAGAAAGCCTAATTGTTGCTACATGTCATAGTTTTTCATAAATGCA